ATGGTTTATTATCATGAAAACTTTCTTGTGGTCCAACATGCCTTGCTTTGTATTTTTGTGTCTCAAACATGGTCACTTTGCTATGAAACCGAGTTAACTCTTGTCTTTTTGTTTCTGGTTTCTACGTTTTAGACGGGAGGAGTGATAGATGCCTTTGAAAAGTGGAAGATGCTCCCTCTCTTTGAGAGCTACTGGATCCCGCTTCATCCCCCGCTAGGGACTTCTTCTCCAAAGCATCCAGATTGAAAAAAGCAACATTTTCAAGGCTCACGTGAGCTTGAGCCTTGCAATAAAAGCAGATCCAAAAGCCTTTTCCCTCTGTTTTTCATTTCTAAGCATGAGTGTTTTTGCTAGTGAAGCCAAAATGGCACCTTACGTCCATGAGAAGGAGGTGTCAGCAAGCATGGTTTGTGGAGAGGCCCAAAACGTCATAAGAAAGGAAGACTAAAAGGGGATGAGGATCTCTCTATACAGTCTAGCGAGCAGGACTGGGCCACAATGTGGAAAATGAAGAGTGGTAAAATATGGAGAGTGGAATGGGAGGGAGAAGAAGATGTTTCCTTTTAAATAGGAACCAATCTGAGTTGTAGTCTTTGAAAAAGTATGCCAGTTGAAATTTAGTCATCCTTCCAAATTCACAGGTCTCTGAATTTTGGGGTTATTGAACTGACCAGACCAGATCTGGAAGTTTCCTCTTATAGATTCTAGGCCCCTCCAGCTAAAGGATTACAGGATGGGAAGTAGCCCTGGCTTTTACAGAAACTAGCCCCACAAAGCCCACTCATTACAGTATGTTGGGCATAACTGCATGCACATGTGCCTACCTGGAAGAATTCTTCATCCTAGGATCCCATGGCTTCCAGTTGGGTGAGATAAGAGAATGCACATCCATTCCTCTCTATGGCAACAGAGCTCACTCTTTTAAGATGTGAATGGTGGGTACTTAGCTGAATGGCTATATACCTCCAGACATAATTTTATTGGAGTGGTGCCTTTCCATAGTTCATACCATGCTTGAGGTGGCTTGCAAGATGGAAAATAATAATAATTACAACATAAAAATTTAGTCTTAAATCATTCAAAAACACACAAACTGAACAAATTAGAGATAATTTATAGGATCCGAAATAAAGATACTAAAAGGTTTGCTTCTGGAGATCTGCAGACATCCTGACTACACTTAAGATGGGTGGGGTATAAATACAGTGGTGTAGCCTTATTAGACTTTACCGATTGGTGGGCTCTGCGTTGCTCCCGGACAGGAGGAAGGAAGTCAAATGACACCGAGGGTTGGTTCAGAGAAAGAGTTCTTTATTTCTGCTCTCCGGAAAAGCAGAAAGGCACTTGCGTGGTCAGTCCACAGCAAGTCCAAAGAAATGAGAAATTTCATGCAGTATATATATCCTCCAGGCACCCTCTCCCTCCTTCCCCAGGAATCCAACCACGTCAGCTTATACACGCAGGTTGACATCACATATGTTCCTGCTCCGGTATTTTTAAACATAAAAGGGTATTCCTTCCTGTACTTCTGACCATAAAAGGGTATTTCTGTTCTTATACTCTTAACTTGGAGCAAGAGGTCACCAACTCCAAGAACACACTCTGGCGCTGTTCCCGGACTAGGTCTGTGCATCTTTGTGGTCTTTGTGGTCAGGATGTAAGATAAGGCCCAGAGTGTCATCCCTGTTCCACTCTGGAATGGACAAAGCCATCCGTCATTACCAGCCTTCATAGACTGATAAGGGAGAGAACTTTGAGCACTTGTTTATACAGCTGGGTTTTGGCTCAAGAGCTGAAGTTAAAGCATTTTAGCTAAGGAAAAATAGGGATTTTTGTGCAGTTTCAAACTGCCTGGACAGTCAGTTTTGGGTTTGGGAAACCCATTCCTTCAGTGGTACCTCTAGTCACAAACTTAATTCGTTCTGGCGATCCATTCTTAACCTGAAACTGTTCTTAACTAGAGGTGTGCTTTCGCTAATGGGGCCTCTTGCTGCCGCTGCGCTGCCGGCACACGGTTTCCGTTCTCATCCCATGGCAAAGTTCTCAACTCGTGGTAACTCTTCCAGGTTAGCGAAGTTTGTAACCAGAAATGTTTCTAACCTGAGGCGTTTGTAACTGGAGGTACCACTGTAGTAAAATTATTATTCATAATAAAACAGGATGTCCCTATTTTCATGGAAGGAATTTGGGAGGATTTCTTGAGAACAGCAAGGGACCCTATATGGAGAAAGCAATGGGGAGACTCCATCTGTTTCTCTTCTTCCAAGAATCACAACTATAATTCAGTGTCCCCAACTCTTCCCCCTTGTGTCCTGCCCTGAAGGCCACAGCCTGCTGGCCTCTCTTGCCCATCTGTGCTGTGGCTGGCCTGTTTCTCCTTTGATCTCCTAGCGTAGAGTTTGGAGGTGACTTCTAATCCTAAAGTCCAAGAGAGAGAAGTGTGAGGAGGAGCAGGAAGATGTAAAACAGGGTGAAGGCTAAGGTGTATCAGCCTAAATAACAAAGAGATTCAGAGGTCCGCTGAGAGTGGAGGAACTACACCACTCTAAGGGTGAATCTACACACAGGGGGAGAAATGTCGGGAAATCTACTGTTGAGAAGTGGAACTGTTATTTTTTCAACTCTGAAGCACATTTTTCAACCTCTGAAGCACATCTTTCATATGATGTATATGCTGTTCTTGATTCTCTGAATAAATCAAAATGTTATCAAAACAGTCCACCAGGACTCTGAGTATGTAGCTGATGAAATCTTAGAACGTTGCTGCTCCTGACTGAAATGTTATCTCCCTCTCTCTCCCTGCCTTCTCTTGGCAACCTTTGGGGCTCCATTTGGCTTAAATGCTGGCATTCAGCTTTGCCACGTCAACTCATCCTGTACCATGAAGACCCTTCACCTATGCTTGGCAGTTCTCTCTTTGCTGCTCCTGGCTTCCCCAGGATTTTTAGGAAGTCGTTAGTCTGCACCAGGCGTCCTATTGTGAAGACCCAGTTTTCTGAGTTCATGTTCTGGGAGTTGTGCAATAGGGGCAGTACAGGATTCCTTTTGGTGTACTGACCTCCCCGCTGCACCAAGGATTCCCTGCCTGAGCTGCTTCCTGGAGACACCTAGTTTGGTTGTCCTAGGGGATTTTAACATCCAGATCTGCCGCAGTCATGTTTCAGAATGAAATAGCTTGGATCAAATGAAAATTTTATGAGGAGGATACAATGCCCAGGGGATTTATCCCTCAGGTAAATAACTCACGCTTCACCTGTCCCCACCAGATTGCTGGATCCTTGCAGTTACCTGAAGGAAGAGCATTTTCACAGGCTCATATCCCAAAACTATTATTAGTTGTAGTCATAATAGCATCAAACAGTTCTTAAAAAAAATAATCCAAGTCGACCAATTGAAGAGGTTGAGTGGGCACATGCAGGGCAAGGAGATTTCAAAGGTGAATTGATGGACTCTTCAGCTTACTTGAAGGAAGGGAAATTTTCACATTTCTCCTCCTCCTCCTCCTCCTCCTCCTCCTCCTCCTCCTCCTCCTCTTCCTAACTCACCACCACCATATCTCTCAGACACCTTTTTCAAACAGGACTCAAGACAACTTAAAAAATAATTCAAAACTGGAGGGGCTCTTCTTCTCTGCTTCCTCCACCTGCCATTTCCCACTCTGCACCCCATAATAATTGGCCAGCCTGTCCTTCCCTTTCTCCTTTCCACCCTAGAAGATGACAAATCCCCCTTTCTCCTTCCCAACCCTGTTTCTGAAGCCTCTTGACTCTTCTGTTTAAAACCCCCTGGAGTCACTGTCAGTATGGCTGTAGATTGGGGGTGATGGCATCTCCAGATCAGAAACATCCAAAGGGCAATGGGTCAGTGTCCAGTCCTGGTACTTTCATGCCCAAGGTGCTTGGAACGGAATGTGGGACACTTTACATGAAATATATGGGTCCGGATCCTCAGCTATCTAAACAAGGTGGAGGGGGAACGTTTTGTGCCTCTGCACAACCATGCCTGCTAACACCTCCTTCTCATGGGCATAAGGTCCCATTTTGGCTTCATTAGCAATGACGCTCATGCTTGAAAATAAACAAGAGAAGTAATAGGGCTTTTGGAGCTGCTTTTATTGCAAGGCACAACTCATGTAAGCCTTGAAAATGTTGCTTTTTTATAATCTGGATGCTTTGGGGAAGACGTCTCTAGCTGGGGATGAAGCGGGATCCAGCGGATCTCAAAAAGAGAGGGAACATCTTCCATTTTTCAAAGTCAGCCATTTCTTATCTACGTCTGCAACATAAAAACCAGCAACAAAAAGACAACAGTTAACTCCGTTTCATAGCAAGATGACTATGTTTGAGACATGAAAATACAAAGCAAGCCATGTTGGTCCATAAGAAGCATTTCAACAACAACAACAACAAATCTTTATTACGGTTGAGGACCAGTATAAGGAGGGAGGGATACAATAATTTAAAATCTTTTTTAAAAAATGTTTTAAAAAACTAAAATAAGTTAAAACTTATAAGATGCTATAAGAATCCAAAAGAAGATAAGAGAACATTAGACAAGTCCGGAAGAGCAGAAAAGGTTCGTAGTATATAGGACTACAGCTATCAGTCTACCAAGCACTCTAATACGAGTGCTCATTATATCTAGTTTGTGGTACAGGCCATCATCCAACAAATTTTGAGCACTGCTGTGCAGAATCTGGCAACGATGTCCGTTGCAGCAGGGTTTGTATCTGAAGGCAGCAGGGAGTTACTGAATTGTCCTGTGCACTGGCAATAACAGTTGGGGTCCTGGCTAGATCAATTTGCGCTCAGTGTCTACAACATGTTGTTTTATGAGAGCTTTGGCTCTCATGACCATTGGGTTGGGATATGTTGGGTGTAGTGAAGGGTTAACCTTCTGTGTCTCGAGGCTGAGAGGAGGCGCTTACAAGGGAAGTAAGCCAGGACGTGACGAAAGCAGCTTGGAATGCTGTGAGCTGAGTGAAAAGTGAAAGCAGCTTTGTTACGCAGCTGCAAGCTGAGAGAAGGTCGCAAAATGCAGCTTGAATCAGATGGACTGTAAATATGCTACTTTTGAGCAAATAAAGTGCTACTAGGAAAGAAGAAACGTGTTCTACTTCTTTTACTGCTCTTTCTACACGGACGCTGTGCAATTCTGCTAATTGCTTTACGACCTGCAGAGGCTCGCAGGGGGAAGTGTGCTGGACGACAAGAGTAAAGCAATAAATTCTTACCTAACAGGATAGGTCTCAGTTTCAGTTTTTCATTTTCAGAAACTAGGAATTCAGTAGATTCACCTTTCAATGAGAACTGAATCCATTTCTTCCCCATCCTTACCCCTGGGGGACATTGTTTTCTAGGTACAATTAAATATTTCAAAGAATAGTGAGTGAGCTTTCAAGGTCTCCAATATTCTCCTGCAGACTGGATGTTATGCACGGCAGGGATTTTTTGTCTTTGTGGCCCTGAGGAAGAGTTCTGGGGAAACAGGAAGCTTGCTCACCATTTTGTGACAATGTTTTGAGAAACACGGGAGAACTGGCACCCTGGGGTTCATTCAGTCCAGTTGCTAATTTCTCTGCCAGGACCCAAGGCAAAGTCTACTGCCTCAGCTTCTTTCTTTAAAAGATAAAATAAAAATGAAGCTGCTTGGAGTTGAAAGTGGGAGATTTGCATGGAATGTATGGGATGTGAAATTGAGGTAATCTTAAATGGTGGAGGGCAGGACAGCGCACAGAGTAAGTGCCCAGCATCTGTTAAAGCTGCAGAATAGACATCCCTTAGGCACTGAGAAAAACAATGGATGAAGCTGCACAACAAATTAAATGTGCCCATACGGTGTGGTTTAGGGATTTGGCAAAGGAGATCTGGCATAAGCTCACAGGGCAAAGGGGCCAAAGACAGCTGGACCAGCCATGAGGCAGGTGAGGACCCTGCTTCTGGTGGCAGAAGCCCCTCAGACAACAAACCCTTGGTGCCCCTCCTGCCCCGCTGCCTCTGCAGTAAAATAATAGTAAAATGATACAGCATTCTAAAATCAATTCATTGTAAAATAAGTTCAAATCATATTAATGGCAACCATTGGGCTAGACTTCTGTGAGGATTACCAAAGGATCAGGCTATGCCTTGGCCAAAGGCCTGGTGGAACAGTTCTGTCTTGCAGGCCCTGTAGAGTCTCTTGCGACAGAGTGTTCCACCAGATTGGAGCCACAGCCGAAAAAGCCCTGGCTCTGGTTGAGGCCAGCCTAACCTCTCTGTGGCCCAGGACCACCAAGTGCTTTTGTTTGAAACCGTAAGGTCCTCCATGGGTCCTGGGCCGTATAGGGCTTTAAAGGTTAAAATTCCATAAAATCCAACGAAACTGAGAAAAAAAGAGGCTACCTTTGGTTTTCCTTACCAGTTTTACATGCAATGCAGTTTTCCATATATTGCTGCACCTTAATGGTCAATATGTGAACCAAAGGAGAGCCATCCGTTGAAAGGCAGTTCTCCCTCCAAGTAATGTGTTTATCCCCTTCATGGATCACTGCCTTGCCGTGGCGAAGGGGCTTGAATAACTCAGAGAAGCTATGAGCTATGCCATGCAGGGCCACCCAAGATGGACAGGTCATAGTGGAGAGTTTTGACCAAACGTGATCCACCTGGAGCAGGAACCGGCAAGCCACTCCAGTATCCCTGCCAAGAAAACTCCATGGACAAAGACAAAAGGCATATAAAAGTTATGACGCTGGAAGATGAGCCCCTCAGGTCGGAAGGCGTCCAACATGCTACTGAGGAAGAGCGGAGGACAAGTACAAGTAGATTCAGAGCTGATGAAGCGGCTGGGCCAAAGCCGAAAGCACGCTCAGTTGCGGATATGCCTGGAAGTGAAAGGAAAGTCCAATGCTGTAAAGAAAAATATTGCATAGGAACCTGGAATGTAAGAACCATGAATCTTGGTAAGTTGGATGTGGTCAAAAATGAGATGGCAAGAATAAATATTGACATCCTGGGCATCAGTGAACTAAAATGGACGGGAATGGGCGAATTCAGTTCGGATGACCATCATATCTACTACTGTGGGCAAGAATCCCGTAAAAGAAATGGAGTGGCCCTCATAGTCAACAAAAGAGTGGCGAAAGCTGTGCTGGGAAGCAATCTAAAAATGATAGAATGATCTCGATACGAATCCAAGGTAGACCTTTTAACATCACAGTAATCCAAGTTTATGCACCAACCACTGGTGCTGAAGAAACTGAAATTGACCAATTCTATGAAGACTTACAACACCTTATAGAATTGACACCAAAGAAGGATGTTCTTCTCATTATAGGGGATTGGAATGCTAAAGTAGGGAATCAAGAGATAAAAGGAACAACCGGCAAGTTTGGCCTTGGAGATCAAAACGAAGCAGGGCAAAGGCTAATAGAGTTCTGCCAAGAGAACAAGCTGGTCATCACAAACACTCTTTTCCAACAACACAAGAGACGACTCTACACATGGACATCACCAGATGGGCAGCATTGAAATCAGATTGATTATATTCTCTGCAGCCAAAGATGGAGAAGCTCTATACAGTCAGCAAAAACAAGACCTGGAGCAGACTGTGGCTCAGAGCATCACCTTCTTATAGCAAAATTCAAGCTTAAACTGAAGAAAGTAGGAAAAACCACTGGGCTGGTAAGATACAATCTAAGTCAAATCCCTTATGAATACACAGTGGAAGTGAACAGGTTTAAGGATTTAGATTTGGTGGACAGAGTGCCTGAAGAACTATAGATGGAGGCTCGCAACATTATACAGGAGGCAGCAATGAAAACCATCCCAATGAAAAGGAAATGCAAGAAAGCAAAGTGGCTGTCCAACGAGGCCTTACAAATAGTGGAGGAGAGAAGGCAAGCAAAATGTGGTTGGAGATAGTGAAAGATACAAGAAATTGAATGCAGATTTCCAAAAAATAGCAAGGAGAGACAAGAAGGCCTTCTTAAACGAGCAATGCAAAGAAATAGAGGAAAACAACAGAATGGGAAGAACCAGAGATCTGTTCAAGAAAATTGGAGATATGAAAGGGACATTTCGTACAAAGATTACCATAATAAAGGACAAAAGTGGTAAGGACCTAACAGAAGCAGAAGACATCAAAAAGAGGTGGCAAGAATACACAGAGGAATTATACCAGAAAGATATGGATGGCTCGTACACCCCGGGTAGTGTGGTTGCTGACCTTGAGCCAGACATCCTGGAGAGTGAAGTCAAATGGGCCTTAGAAAGCACTGCAAATAACAAGGCCCGTGGAAGTGATGGTATTCCAGCTGAACTACTTAAAATTTTAAAAGATGATGCTGTTAAGGTGCTACACTCAATATGCCAGCAAGTTTGGAAAACTCAGCAGTGGCCAGAGGATCGGAGAAGATCAGTCTACATCCCAATCCCAAAGAAGGGCAGTGCCAAAGAATGCTCCAACTACCGCACAATTGCACTCATTTCACACGCTAGCAAGGTTATGCTTAAAATTCTACAAGGAAGGCTCAAGCAGTATGTGGACCGAGAACTCCCAGAATTGCAAGCTTGATTTAGAAGAGGCAGAGGAACCAGAGACCAAATTGCAAACATGCGCTGGATTATGGAGAAAGCTAGAGAGTTCCAGAAAGACATCTACTTTTGCTTCATTGACTATGCAAAAGCCTTTGACTGTGTTGACCACAGCAAACTATGGCAAGTTCTTAAAGAAATGGGAGTGCCTGATCACCTCATCTGTCTCCTGAGAAATCTCTATGTGGGACAAGAAGCTACAGTTAGAACAGGATATGGAACAACTGATTGGTTCAAAATTGGGAAAGGAGTACGGCAAGGCTGTATATTGTCTCCCTGCTTATTTAACTTATATGCAGAATTCATCATGCGAAAGGCTGGGCTGGATGAATCCCTAGCCAGAATTAAGATTGCTGGAAGAAATATCAACAACCTCAGATATGCAGATGACACAACCTTGATGGCAGAAAGTGAGGAGGAATTAAAGAACCTTTTAATGAGGGTGAAAGAGGAGAGCACAAAATATGGTCTGAAGCTCAATATAAAAAAAATGAAGATCATGGCCACTGGGCCCATCACCTCCTGGCAAATAGAAGGGGAAGAAATGGAGGCAGTGAGAGATTTTACTTTTTTGGGCTCCATGATCACTGCAGATGGTGACAGCAGTCACGAAATTAAAAGACGCCTGCTCCTTGGGAGAAAGGCGATGGCAAACCTAGACAGCATCTTAAAAAGCAGAGACATCACCTTGCCAACAAAGGTCCGTATAGTTAAAGCCATGGTTTTCCCAGTAGTGATGTATGGAAGTAAGAGCTGGACCATAAAGAAGGCTGATTGCCGAAGAATTGATGCTTTTGAATTATGGTGCTGGAGGAGACTCTTGAGAGTCCCATGGACTGCAAGAAGATCAAACGCATCCATTCTTAAGGAAATTAGCCCTGAGTGCTCACTGGAAGGACAGATCGTGAAGCTGAGGCTCCAATACTTTTGCCACCTCATGAGAAGAGAAGACTCCCTGGAAAAGACCCTGATGTTGGGAAAGATTGAGGGCACAAGGAGAAGGGGACAACCGAGGACGAGATGGTTGGACAGTGTTCTCGAAGCTACAAACATGAGTCTGACCAAACTGCGGTAGACAGTGGAAGACAGAAGTGCCTGGCGTGCTCTGGTCCATGGGGTCACGAAGAGTCGGACATGACTAAACGACTAAAAAAAAATGTGTTTATAAAATGTACAGGAAAAAGAATAACTTCATGAAAATAGCATGAAAATATGGGTTATATTAGGGGAAATTGCATAGCAATGATGGGCGTAATGGGGAAAATTCAGCAACACAGTGCATATTTCCCCTAATAGACACACTTTTGTTGGCAATTTTGTCCAATATATACATTTTTATGCAAAGAATTCCCACTAAAGAGATTTCCACTAAAGAAACATCTCTAGTGAGAAAAGTGAGCTTCCTTTGCAAGGCCACAGAAGTGCAACTGTACTCCTCTCCTTCTTCCGCCCCACAATTGGCTGGCAGGTGTCCCTCTGTCTTCTTCCTCTCCATCCCTTACCTGGGGAAGCCAGGAGCAGCAAAGAGAGAACTGCGAAGCACAGGTGAAGGATCTTCATGGCTCAGGATGAGTTGACGTGGCAAAGCTGAATGCCAGCTTGTAGGCCAATTGGAGCCCCAAAGCTTGCCAAGAGAGGGCAGGGAGGGAGAGGGAGATTAAATAATTGTA